TGATTTAGTAATGATTTGATAATAATCATTATAGTAATGATTTGATAATAATCATTATAATAATGATTTAGTAATAATCATTATAAAAATGATTTAATAATGATTTAAATATTTAATGATTTGATGATTTAGTAATGATTTGATAATAATCATTATAGTAATGATTTGATAATAATCATTATAATAATAATTTAGTAATAATCATTATAAAAATGATTTAATAATGATTTAAATATTTAATGATTTGATGATTTAGTAATGATTTGATAATAATCATTATAATAATGATTTTATAATAATTATTTAGTTATTATTTAGTAATTATTTATAATAATGATTTATAATAATGATTTATAATAATGATTTAATACTAACAAATGAGTGTACAAGTGTGGATTACTGAGTTTAAATTTATACATAGTCGAATTTATTAATGATTTAAAATAGTTGATTTACTAAATATTTAATTATTTGATACTAGTAATGATTTGATACTAAAAATCATTGTTAAGGTTAAAAAAGTAGTCTAATTTCAATAAATAATTTGTAATAATAGCAAACGAGTTTACAATTGTTGTCGATGTCGGGGTGTTGTTGAATGATAATGTCGGGGCGGACGTCTGATACGTTGTGGCCGTTGTGGCTCAGGAGTATTGTACCCATCCCCCTCATTCATTGGGGGTATTTGAACTGTCATGTGTTCAAAGTCATACGTCGACGAAAACGTAGGAGAATAGATGGGTGCCTCAGGTTGCACAAACTCTGGTATGTATGCCGGGCCAGTAGAATCATCAACTGCGTGATGCAACGATTGTGGTGCGCTATTATCCACATCGGTCATTTCCGCTTCAGTTTGTAGAGATGAACTCCCACTCCCACTCGGTAGAGATAATTCAGCTTTACCAAATCTTTTCTTAAACCTCAAAAATTGCCGCCTCTCTACTATTGTTGTGAGGAACGGCTTTCCATTATCCAAAAAATAAGCAAGGTAAGCCGAAGTCTCAAAATTAAAGTCGTCGTCTTGAATGGCGTCAAGAGTTGGCATGAATGAAGCCCTATTGTTCCAAGCATTAATGTAGGTTACATGCTTCTCAACCCAATTAACGCTTTCTTTACGACGACCATCAAATCTGTGCAGGTCGTCATGCGTCTCAACCCAATTCACTGGACGACGACCATCTAAGTTTTGGAGGAGGTCATGAGCCCATGGACTCCGCGGAATAGGTTGGTGGAAGTGGAATTGCCTCAGCACTCTATCCCCAAATTGGATCTCAACAAAGCAAAATTGATCAATGGTGTAACAGCACACCAATATTGAAACCCATCTAAAATATCGTGCGGTATCAACGCAAATAATTCTTCATTCATGTATGGTCTCCAATTAAACTGTAAATTACAAAAACAATAAAATTTATTTAAATCAAATAATATAGTTAATTTAAATAATAATTAAAAAAATACAAATTATGCATACCTCCTTTTTGGCCTTAATGTCGATCTTCAACCTGAACTCTTTAATGTTGTTGTGCACCAACCCTGTGCCTTCAATTTTATGCCTCCATCTGTATATCAATCAAAACAAAAATAGAGACATTTTGTTCAATAATTTTAATCAAAATAAATATTTTTTAATTAATATTTATATTAAAATAGAGGATTCATATTACCTTCCGGCAAGTGGAAAGTCAACCGCAGTCCGACTAATCGGTGTCAAAAACGGAAGTCTATGCCAAGCCCATGATTGTAGCAGCAACAGACATCCACCGATTTCTACTGTATTATTATCATTCACGACTAATGACGCCTTGCACATCTCACGATACAAGAACGCCAATATCGCCGAACCCCAGCTATATTGCCTACAATTCTCAAAATTTGTTAAAAAAAGAAGATACTGAGTGTGAACATAACTACCGGATTTATCAGGCATCAAAATTCCCCCAATCAATTGTAATATATATGCTCGTGTTGCATATATAATTTCGTGCTCCGTACTATTTGATTGAAGTTGAAATTCATTCTTCAACCATGACAACCTCACCCGCCACCCTTTACACTCTGGTGGTACGGGCGCTTTCCCAAGAAACAAGTTGCAAAGTTGTTCCACCTTATTAAACTCATGTGACATTACCACCGGCATCCCATTAGTTTGGACCCCGAGTTGCATTGCTACATCCTCCAAAGTTATCGTGCATTCGCCACACGGCAAATGAAACGTGTGCGTTTCTGGTCTCCAACGTTCAATCAACGCACTGATCAAACCTGGGACCAACTTGTAATCTTGCACAAATGTTATATACCAAAATCCAGCCTCTTGCAAATTTTCTTCTATTAGTGGGTGTGGCTTGGGCACTTTATGTAGTCGAAGACGAAGGACTCGCTGCTCGTCCTCCTACAATTAAATATTTCAAAAAATTATCACAATCATAAAATAATATTCAATATTTATTAATTATAATTCATTAAACAAATATTTTATTCACCATTATTCCCAAATGACTTGAAATATGTTCATTGTCAAGCCTCAACAGTGGAATTTGGTCAGCCATTAGAATGAATCTGTAAAAAAAATTAAACAACAATATTTAAAAAATCATTTAATATAATCTAATATAAACTAACTAACTAATTTACAACACTAAACTTTAATATAATAACTTATAATATAATAAACTAATAAACTAACAAACTAAACTTTTTAAAATATAAGTTAAACGTAAACGCTAAACCCTTAAACAACTAATAAAATATTCTTTTATATAACTAAAACTAACTAATAAACTATTTTTTCATTATAATATACTATTAATAAACTTACTAACTAATTTTTTATATAATATAAATTCAACAAACAAATATAACTTAACTATTTAACTAACACAAACTAATTAAATAATTTTTTTATATAACTAACTATAACAATACAAACTAATTAATTATTTTTAACTATATAACTATCAAACATATACTAATTAAATAATTTTTAATTTATGTATACTATAACTTAAACTAACAATCATATAACCCTAAACTAACAAACTAATTAACTGCTTTTTGTTTAACCCTAAACCCTAAACTAACAAATTAAACATTTATATAATAAACTAATTTAAATATAAAAAAATTTACCTTATCTCCCTTTCTTCTTCTTACTTTCCTTTCTCCCTTTCTTTCTTTCCTTTCTCCCTTTCTTTCTTTCTTTCTCGGCTGCAATCTCTTCTCCCTTTCTTCTGCAATCTCTTCTCCCTTTCTTTCTTTCTTTTATAACCGGCTGAGGCCTCAATTATTTCACCAATTGTACAATTGCAGCTATGATATCATCAGCTGATTTCACGCGTTCAATTATTGTACCAATAATCAAATGGTTCACGTGCATGCATTGGGAGGTGTAGGCATGCAGCGGGGAGCACGTGAATTGGGAGGTGTAGGCAATGCAGCGGGGAGCACGTGAAGGAATCTATGTGGCTATGTGGCTGTGCATGTGCATGGATGATGGGAATGGCGCCGGGACTACATGGCGACCTACAAGGTCGCCGGGACTACATGGCGACCTACAAGGTCGCCGGGACTACATGGCGACCTACAAGGTCGCCGGGACTACATGGCGACCTACAAGGTCGCCTAGGCTGCATGGCGACCTCTCTATTCCTGCATGGCTCGTATATGGCTCGTTGCATGCTCCCCATTGGCTCTCTATTCCTGCATGCTCCCCATTGGCTCGTATATGGCTCGTTGCATGCTCCCCATTGGCTCTCTATTCCTGCATGCTCCCCGTGGGCTCGTATATGGCTCGTTGCATGCTCCCCATGGCTCGTATATGGCTCGTTGCATGCTCCCCATTGGCTCTCTATTCCTGCATGCTCCCCATTGCCTCGTATGGCTCGTTGCATCCTCCCCATTGGCTCGTATGACTCGTATATGGCTCGTATGTCACCCTCGTATGTCACCCCGTATGTCGCCTGGATTGCATGGCGTCCTCCAAGGTCGCCTGGATTGCATGGCGTCCTATGGCAATCACTGTTGAATTCACCCCATTCCAGCAATTAATCTAGGATGTGCACCATATCGTGAAAAAAAAAATTCGAGAACATTATCTCGTGAATTTACCCTATTTACACATGACTTTCGTGTCTTAAAAATAAATGCCTCTGGTAACAATTAAGGGTAAACTACATAAATAACCTCATAACTATGGACTGGGTCACGAACTTACCACCATTTTAAAATTTACGTTAAAATGACCACTGAACTATTTAAATGGTTTCAATATAGCTACATGTCGTTAACACTTAATAAAAGTGTCTACGTGGCAATTAACAAGATTTGTATAATTAAGGCACGGGTCCTTATAAAGTTACGTATTCGCGGGACTAGAACTCTGCTTTGTTTCTTCCATTTTTAACTACTTGTGTATGATTTGTTTCCTTGTATTTTCATTTAATGCAATTTGATCCCAATTCTGTTTTTAATTTATCTAATGCCTTAATTTGAGCATTAACTTTAAAATCTTTTATTCTAATAATGTATTAAATTTATAGATTAAATCCCCTAGATTAAAATATTTTATTCGTGAATACGTAACTTTGCAAGGACCCATGCTCTAATTATACCAATTTTATTATTTGTCACGTAGATACTTACGTTAAGTGTTAACGACATATGTCTATATTGAAACCATTTAAATAGTTCAGTAGTCATATTAACACATTTAAAAATGGTGGTTATTTCGTGACCTAGCCTATAATTATATGATCATTTATGTATAATTGTGTACAAATGATTGTACACGCACCGTGGGCAAATCTTCTTAAATTCACACACGTATTTCTTCTATCAATTACTTGTATTCAGAACCAACGTCGTGTCTGATATAATTAATGCATTATACATTCTTACTAGTTAACTCATATCAAAATTATGTATATATAATATTTAATTTATAATTTATTTGAATCGATTCAATTAATCAATATAATTTTCATCTCCTTTCTCCTTAAAAACAAACTCTCCCACATAGTAGAGCTCAAACTACTGCGCTTACTTCTCTCTTCCAATTTTAGCAGAGCTTGATTCATGCAGACGTCCAAAGGCGCTTTAGGTTCTGTTTCTGAGGAACACAAGAGCAAGAGGTACATCATCGTTTTCCTCAACCTTTCATTTGTCTTGTCGTCTTCTGTTTTCTTGATGACATGTTTCAGATCTTCAGGATCTCTTGTCTTAACCAGTTATAAACCCAAATCCTGGACTAATCAGCAAAACTGTAGTGGACTGTTGAATTTAGATGATTACAAAGCCAAATGCTCTTTACTTAAGTCCAATAACCCATGTGTTTCTCAAGGATATGTTGATTATCTTTACCTTTTCTATTGCAATTTTGGGGAGTTTCAGTTCTTGGGACATTCCCTTTTGATCCTTTGGCTCCTTATCTTGTTTTATCTGTTGGGAAACACAGCTTCCGAATACTTTTGTTACTCTCTTGAAAGCTTGTCGTGTTTCTTGAAATTGTCCCCCACACTTGCGGGTGTCACACTCTTGCCACTCGGCAATGGTGCTCCTGATGTTTTTTCGAGCATGGTATCCTTCATGGACGGAGAGACACAAGATGTTGCCCTGAACACAGTTCTGGGTGGGGCTTTGTTTGTGACTTGTGTCGTGGTTGGAACCATTAGCACGTTTGTGCGCCGGAAGGAAGTTCGGATTAACAAACAGGCCTTTGTAAGAGATGTTTGCTTCCTCCTTTTGGTTCTTTTTTCCTTGACTTTGATATTGGTTTATGGGAGAATCACTATTTGGGGATCCATGGCCTTTTCCTTAATGTACATTGTGTATGTCATCCTTGTTTATATAGTATACATTGTCTGGAATTCCGGTGCTACGGACGTCTTCGATTCCGATTCTTGTGGCTTGAAAAAACCGATCTTGAACGGAATTGAGAAAGTGGAGACTGAATGTTTAGAGGGAGGGAATATGGAAGATGAAAAGGGGTCAGTGGAAACAAAGAGATTTTGCAGTATGTTAATTTGGACTCTAGAGATGCCCCTTTATTTACCTAGGAGATTGACAATTCCAATAGCTTGTAAAGATAGATGGTCTAAGCCAATGGCGGTTGTTTCAGTGTCATTGGCACCAATTCTCTTATCTGTAATTTGGGACCTTCAAGATGACAAAATAAGTGTAATAGCCTATGGGATTGGGTGCCTTTTCGGCCTGAGTTTTGGTGTTCTAGCATGCCTAAAAACCCAAAAATCCAGCCCTCCACAAAAATGCTTATTCCCATGGCTAGCCGGAGGGTTCATAATGAGTGTGATTTGGAGCTACATCATAGCTCAAGAACTAGTTGGCCTATTAGTTTCGCTCGGCTACATACTCGGAATCAGTCACTCGATCCTCGGTCTCACCGCCCTCGCTTGGGGCAACTCGCTCGGAGACCTGATAACCAACTTGACCATGGCATTGAATGGTGGTCCAAAAGGGGCACAAGTGGCCCTATCAGGCTGCTATGCCGGTCCCATCTTCAACATGCTCTTCGGTTTAGGGCTGTCCCTTGTTGGCTCTACTTGGTACGGATACCCTTCGCCTATGGAGATTCCTAGAGACCCTTATCTATTTGAAACACTTGGTTTTCTAGTTGCTGCCTTGCTATGGACAATTTTGGTACTGCCAATTAAGGACATGAGGCTTGATGGGGTCCTTGGGGGAGGCCTTTTTCTGATTTACTTCACTTCCATGTCTTTAAGACTTGTTCAAGTTGTTGGTCCCCTCCAACTTCATACCATTTCTTAGTACTTTTGTATCATTGTAAATTATTGGACGTTTATAAAGATTGCAACTTGCAATCAATTTTATCATACGATTTCTTGTATAGTAACCAATTACTTTGGTGACTTTATTTTCACTGATTGCCATTGGTATATATATAATTTATGTTACTCGGATTCGAAATTATTGTCGAACATAAATTTTTTCTTTATTGTTCGATTTTTTACTTTCATATATCTCAATACATTAGATAATTTTATTTTATTTAAAATTTATAAAATTAGTTTTAGTAAGAGTTAATTGCATCGTATGTCCTTAAAATATGACTATCATTTCAAATTAGTCCTTAAACTTTTAAGTATTCTAATTTCATCCTTAAACTATGACTCTCATTCTAAATTAGTCCTTAAACTTTTGAAAATTTAAATTTCATCCCCAAATTATGGATCTCATTCCAAATTGGTCCTTAAACTTTAAAATCTTTCAATTTCATCCCCAAATTAATCCAAGTATGTAATCCATTTCAACCATAGTTTAACCTAAAATTTATTTTTATTCAAACATATAATAATATAACTTGCCTAATGATTTTATTAACAAGAGATGTGATTAATATAAACGAATAATTTAGGATAAAATTGAAATATACAAAATTTTTGAGGACCAATTAGGATGATGATCATAGCTTGGGGATGAAAAATGAAATGTTCAAAAGTTTGAGGAATAATTTAGAATAATAGTCATATTTTAAGGATGAAATTAAAATGTTTAAAAGATTAGGGACTAATTTAAAATGAGGGTCATATATTGGGGGCATATGATGCAATTAACGCTTTTAGTAATATTATCTTCTAATATATTCAACATGTGGTGTTCCTATAATATTTTATTTAAAATAAAAAAGTATTTATTAAACTTAATTTATAATCACTAATAGTTAAGTAGTTAGAGTTAGGGGTGAGCATACGACCGAGCCGAGTCAAAAAATTTTAAGTTATTTGAGTTGACGATTCACATTTCACAGCTCGAACTTAACTTGAAATTTTTTCAAGTCGAGTCGAGTTTAAGAAATTCGAGTCGAGTTATTCAAGTCGAGTTATTCAAGTTTTAATACTAATTTTATTATAATTATTTATAGTATTATGGCAAGGATTTATTCCAAAAATATTTTTACTTTGTTTAACCATATAATATATATATATATATATATATTATATTCTTTTTGCTTAATAATGTTATTTAATATATCAAATACAATCTAAAATTATAAAATATATTCATAATATTATATTTTAAAGAAAATATTTTGAGGGTAAAATATTGATGAGAGACAAAAGGAGTCAAAGAATTGATGAGAAGAAAGAATTTGTAAACGATTCTAGTCAAAAGACCAAATTGAGTAAAATACAAAGTTAAGGGACTAAATAAAAAAGTGAGTCCATTTTTAGTAAAGAAAAGTAAGTATTGAAGTTACTTAGGTATTAATTTTACTATGATATATGAGCATGTGATTCAAATTTGGTAAAAAAATGGACTTAATTACAGGATGAATTGAAGAAATAAGGAAGAAATGAAAAGTTGTGGGACTAAATTGAAAAATATAAAATTTATTATCAAAAAGAGAAATTAAAAGTATACATGTATTCTATGCTAGTTTAGGAGCATATGGTTTAAATTTGGTAAAAAACAGGCTTAAAGTAAAGGATGAATTGAAGAAATAAGGAAGATATGAAAAGTTGAGGGACTAAATTGAAAAATTAAAACTTTATTATCAAAAAGGGGAATCAAAAGTGCAAATGTATTCTATGATGGTTTAGGAGCATGTTGTTCAAATTTAGTAAAAATTGGACTTAAAATAAATGATGAATTGAAAAAAATAAGGAAGATATGAAAAGTTGATGACTAAATTGAAAAATAGAAAATTTATTATCAACAAGAGAAATTGAAAGTATACATATATTATACGATAGCTTAGAAGCATGTGATTCAATTTGGTAAAAAAATGGACTTTAAATGATGGTGGAATTGAAGAAATAATGAAATCAAGGACTAAATCATAAACTGTCAAAATACTTGGTCAAATTTTCGGTTTTTTGAGTAACTCGAATTTTCAAAAATTCAACTCGACTCGAACTCGAAAACCAAATTGATAATTTGAGTTGACTTGAATAACTCAAAATTGAAAAAAAAATCAATTTTTCGAGTCGAATCGAGTGTTGCTCGCCCCTAGGTAGACTGGTTATTCGGTTGCTGCAAGTTGTTGAAGTTAGTGCTTTATAGTCAAGTGTACTTCTCTATCAATTAATGAAAAGAATAGTATCATTCATGTTCACTTTAGTTCTATTATTCTCTTACTCTTCCTGGTAATATTCGACATTGTTTCAATCGCAGAAGGTTCTGGTGATCCTTAATGTCTATCCGCTGCTTAGTTTCGGTGGAATGCCTTCCTCTTCCCTTCGAAGTCAGATTGGTGCTACTGCTGAGGGTGCGCAAGTGCAGTTGTCTTCAAGAAACGGAAAAATATTCACTAAAAAAAAGTGAATGTAGTTCTCGATAAACTATTTTTTTTTTTTGCTGTGGAAGCAACAAGGGTTGTTCACTGTGCGGAACCATTGTCTAGAGCAGTTTCTTAACGGTGTGATGTAGCCTCCGGCTGAAGAGGTTGCATATTCTAGTGGAGCAATGGTGGTTAACGAGGCTTATGAGGATTTTATCAAATAAGATAGTGCGCTTGCGTCTGGTTATTGTCTACGATCAGCTGTCATTTGCTACCTAAATTTATGGGTGCAGATACGACAGTTGAGATTTAGCATATAGTGTTGCAATCTTTGCAAACAGTTCCACAACGACAATTATGAACCTACATTACAAGCTGCAGTCATTGAAGAAAGGTAATGATAGCATGCGATCGTACCTCACACGAGTAAAAGAAACATGCGATGCATGAGCCTCTTGAAGGAGCTCAATTCATACGGTCGAGCATATTGCTAGTATCCTGAAAGGCTTACTAAGGGAATACCAATCGTTTATAATAGTTATAACAACCACGAGTGATTCTCTTCTTTTGAAGAAAGTCTCCACGATGCTTGTGGATGCAGAAACGCCGTTGGCTGGGTTTGCAACTCAAGAGGAGACCCTGGTTGTCAGTGCACAAGTTGCTTATGGTGGAGTGGCAACCAGTAATTCGAACACTGAGCATAATCATAAGGTGCATTGCCATTCATCTAATACTGCTAGCAGAGGCAGTGGTCGAGGTCGGGGGAGATCTTGAGTGCAATGTCAACCGTCTGGGAAAGTCGATCATTTAGTTAGTCGGTGCTGGAACAGGTTTGATCAGACCTTTCTTGGAATTGTGGACATGGATGGTCAGTCTCGTTCTAAAGAGGAGACAGCTAGTGTTCACTACATTTCGTATGATAGATCTGGATGTGCTTGCTGCCTTAGCAGATCATAGGGGTAGCCTCAGGTGCATGTTGCGTCTACACCTGGTCGTGATTAGTGGATGGTCGATTCAAGTGCCATGCACCATGTAACACCGAATACAAGTAATGTTGCACATTGTGTTGATAATAGTGACCTAGGTAAGCTCACGGTTGGTGATGGTGTGATAAGTGCTTAATTTAGTTAATATTTTACTTTTAAATTACTCTTTAATCATTGATTTTTGTGGTTTATTTGTTCATTTTAATTCATTATCTGTACATGACGTAAGATTATGAAAATTGTACAAAAAAGACACAATTCTGCAGATTTTTATTTTCGGAATCAAAGCTGGTTGGAATTCGATTTGGATTAAACTCAAATTTAGGATAATATTTTAAACATTATATTTTATATTTGTATTTTAGTTTAAATAGGTTTTTAGTATTTTAATTAAGTTTTAGGATATTATTTTTATATTTTATCTTTATATTTGTATTTAGTTTAAATAGGTTTTAGAATTTTAATTAGGATTTAGAATATTATATTATATTTTTTAGGTATTTTAGTTTAAATAGTTTTAAGTGTTTTAATTAGAATTTAAGATGTTTTAGCTTGTTTTTAGGATTTTGAAGGCTATAAATACCCACTAAGGGTGAGCCTAGAAAGATATCTCTCTCATTTGAGAATAAATATTCTTTTTCTCTCTAGCTTTCTCTCTATTTTTCACATACGTTTCTATTATGCTAAGTATGACTTTGGTTATGCTTAACTAATTTTCTTTCAAGCCGAAGACTAAAGCGAAGGCTCAATTCCAAACGTGAGAATTGTAAGGTACTTAAATCGCTTCGGATTTTCTCTCTGTTTTTGAAGCTTACTTTTCAAATCAAAACTATTTCGACATTGGTCCGAATATGGTTATGGTTAATGTTCGAAGAAGGATTTGCTTATTGAAGCATATTCAACTTCCCGATAACACACTTAGAAAAATTGTTTGCTAAGAGGAAACTGAGATCGAAATCAGTTGTTGTTGAAACGACACAATCCGAGTTGGCAGCGAAGAATTGTTCTTGTAAGCTTACGTGAATCTTGAAGTAAAAATTTGTTTCGATGATTCGAGGAATTTGAGGCGAAGCTGAAGTCTGAGGCTGTTTTCACAATAAGTTTCTCTTTATCTTAATCTCTTTAATTTGTTTATTTAATTATTTTTTATTTAATTCTTATTTTTTTATTTTAACCACAACTTTTAAAAAATCCCCCTTTTATATTTATTTCTATTAATATTTATTATTATATTATATTATATTATATTATATTATATTATATTACATTATTTTATTTTAATATATCTTTTCAACTTCATCTGGAATTCTATCTTTTTCTAAAATCAAGAAAGAGTTTTATTAAATCATAAACACCACAGTCCCTGTGGATCAACCCTGCTTCTCTATACTACATTTTCATTTTTATTTATTAAGAAGCTAGGAATTATTTTGATAGCAAAACGACGGTTATCAAATTGGCGCCGTTGCTGGGAACTAACGGCAAGTACTGATTTATTTTTCTAGTTTTTGATTTATGACCAGAAGTAACCCAGGTGAATTAGTAGATCTAGATCCACAGATCGAAGCACGAGCACGAAG